CTGTGGCTGGAAGCAGCTCCCATCCCTTCCAGGAGCGGTTCTATGTTTTTTGCCGCCCCAAGCACGGCAGGCCTGCGGCTTTCGGCGGCATGCCTGCGGGAGGTCCGCCGGTGCCGCACCATTGGCGTCCCTGCCGCCAAATTGCTACCAAAGCCACGGGACCAGCGGACCTCCTGCAGGCATGCCGCTGAAAGCCACCTGACTGCCACCCTCACAGTGACCGGCAGGCTGCCCGCCGCGGCCTGCCGCCCCAGGCACGCACTTGCTCTGCTGGTGCCTGGAGCCGCCCCTGATCCTTTCCCTCCCGAACAGTGCCAAAAGGCTGCTGCTGGCCACATTCTGGCGTCAACCCTGGCAGAAATCTGGGGAGTAGGGGCATGTGACCCTTCCTTCTCTCCCTCCCCCCCAGCATGTTGCCTTGAGGAGATACGGTGCCAGGTACCAGGAGAGGCAAGTCCGTCCCAGGGGTCCAGCCAGGCATGGAGGGCGGAGAGCACCAGGCAGGGACAGTCAGGTCGTTGATCACCCCCCCATGAGAGCGAGGTGTACGGGAGTGTGTGTGTGTCACCTCTCCCTGTGTGTGGCTGTGTGGGGTAGGGGTGTATGTGTCACCCCACCCCGTGTGAACTAGGGATGTAAAAGGTTAACCGGTAAGCAATAGTCATACCAGTTAACCCACCTTAATCATTAACCCCGGGCCAGCCGGCCCCAGCGGCCCCGCACTGGTTGGAGCGGGCCCAGTCGCGCTGCCCGGCTGGAGCGGCCCCAGCCAGAACAGACTCAGACCCAGCCACGCCAGCTGGTGAGATTGGCCCCAGCTGCTTAATCAGTTAACTGTTTAAATGACATATTTTTAATTGTTTAAATAATTAACTTTTTAAATGGTATTTACATCCCTAGTGTGAACCTGAAAGCCTTAAAGATAAGAAGGTAAATATAAAGAATCCAACTACGTAGTGTTTCTTTTTAACAGGGGCTCAGTCAACTTGATGTTAATTTGAATGTTTGTACTGCATAATTCTGATTGATTGCCGTTGAACTTGCTTGAGCACGAGTAATTTTACCAGGTGTCCCATATTCAGCATAGGAAAATATGGTCACCCTAGTTCAGCGTCACGTTGCTGCTATCGTTCCCTCAAAAAGCAACAGCAGCTGACCATGTGATTCTAGTGTCCTCACAATAGAGAATTAGAATCAGAAGGAAATGGGAGGGCTAGTCTGGTTAATAGGGTACTGGCTTAAGCCTTGGAATACTTGGGTTCAAGTCCCTGCTCTGCCACAGAGTTCCTCTGTGACATTGGGCAAGTCACTTTGCCAGTCTGCGCCTCAATCCCCATTTAAAATGAGATGATAGCACTTCCTGACCTCCCAGGGGTGTTGTGAGGAGAAAATACATTAAAGGTTATGAGGTGCTCCCAAACTGTTGGGGTCACATGAGTACCTGTGATAAACTAGTTTTCTGTTATCAGATGGGCAGCAAGAGTCCTGTAAATATAATTGTTTTTAACAAGAACAGCCAATATATAAGAGATCTGGCTAACAGAAAAACACTTTAAAGTCAATGAGTAAAATTCCTCTCTGGGGTGAATGGGCCCAACTTCACTTAGCTAACAGTAGTTACAGTAATGATAACCCAGTGTCACTCCCTCTTCTATGTGCTATTTGCAGAGGGGAGCTCCGTGATATGCAGGTGATACCTGCTCCTTGAATAGGCATTCATGTCATCAAGTGACATTCATGGTTCTCCCACTGCTTGTCTAGAAATATATCCATCAGTGTTCCACAGCTGGTTGAATGGTCAGCAGAGAGAATAAGGACTAAATGGATCTGAAGCCTAAACTAGCATCTGACCTCTAGAGCAGGGGTTCTCAACCTTTTTCTTTCTGAGGTCCCCCCAACATGCTATAAAAACTCCAAGGCCCACCTGTGCCACAACAACTGTTTTTCTGCATATAAAAGCCAGTCGGCACTGGGGGGTAGAAAGCAGGGCAATTGCCCGGTGCCGCACGCCACAGGGGGCCCCACAAAGCTAAGTTGCTCAGGATTCGACTTCAGCACCAAGTGGCGGGGCTAGGGACCCCAGGCTTCAGCCCCTTGCAGTGGGGCTTCAGCTTTCTGTCCTGGGACCCAGCAAGTCTAATGCCAGCCCTGCTTGGCAGCCCCCGTGAAACTTGCTCATGGCCCCCCAGGGGGCCCGGACCCTCGGTTGAGAATCACTGCTCTAGTTCAGGCTTAAGAAATATTGGACGTGCAATGCAAAAAGGACCGCACTGCTTCTGCAGGTGTTTGATTCATAACTGTCATGTAGGTAGAAGATTTTAGTCTCCAGGATTGTCCATATAACCCCTTTTACTTAAAAATTACAAAAATAAAGAAGGGGAGAAGGAAAGCCATCTATGTGATCACAGCTGCTTGCTATGGCACGTACAGTGTGGGCAGTGAAGTGAAAATAGTCTCACCTCAGTGCTGTGAATGCTGTGAGTTACATTAAACCTTAACATCTAACAATGTAAACCTTCACTCAGAGAAGCCCACCTGTTACAGATGAAGTAAATTGGTATAGATGGAAATGTCTGGAAAATGGACAAAGCACAGCTATTTGCAATTACTCTGTGGAGAGCTTTAATTATAGAACTAAGCCTCCCAAATAGCAGCAGAGCTGAAATGTGTGCTTGAATGACAGCTGGAATGACCCCAGGAATTTTAGATGTATGCACCTGGCAAAAGGCCAAATGGACTTTCCAAACCAAAGTCAAGGATAAGGCCTAATTTTTGCAATTTTTTTCCCATGAGGGGAGCTCAGATCTTGGAGAAACTAAATACACCTTTTAAACTCCAAGTATCTTTAAGCTTCTTAGAAAGCTTGATAAGAGTGATGTACCCTGGGGAATTTCACAAGTTCATGCAGGTAAATATCAGAAATATGTCTACTTTCTTAGTGTCGGTAGTGCCTTGTCCCGGCTGTAGTTTCACTCTTAAATTCTATTGGAAAAACATTGTTATTTTTGTTCACATGTGAAGTGAGCCAGATCCTCATGTCTGGCCAAACCGTGCTTGATGCAGGACCCAGGGCAATGGCCCTCCGGGTCCTGAGGGAAGTCAGGAGCCAGTTTGTCCCCTGGCATAAATTAAAGCTGCCTCAGAGCTGTTGTAGCCTATGCTGGCTTGTAGTGGCCTCCCAGGTGCTGGTATGGTGGCAAGCACCACGGGACTGCAACGTGCTCCATTTCCCCCTTCCATTCCCCCACAACATGTTCCCTATACCAATGGGATGGCAAAGAGATGGCTTCACCATCTTTGTGCCAGCTGAAAATTTCCCTAGCTACTCTATTAGGGCAGCTTTCCAGCTGCTATGCATTGGAGGAGCAGCATAAGGAGGCTGGAGTGAGCGCTGAGGATCTAGCTGGTTATTCTGGAAATGAATCCAGAGGCAGGACAGTTTTGCCCTAGATGTGTTTTTCTGTACACTAGCAGCATCATTTGTTTTCAGTTGGATGGGGATGGAGGGGCGTTCTTCTAGTCTTCTTTTTAATATTATTATTATATTATAAAATGCAAGAAATGACAAGATAAAAAATGAATCATAAAATCATAGGAATGGAAAGGACCTGGAGAGGTCATCTAGTCCAGTCCCCTGCACTCATGGCAGGTCTAAGTATTATCTAGACCATCCCTGACAGGTGTTTGTCTAACCTATAAGCAAAATGATTTGCTTATAATATCCAGAGAATAATTAGAACATAAAAGGATATCTAAGATTAGCTTACCCCCTTAGTCATGGGAGTTGTCATTACTCTCACAAAGAGACATCGGTTTTGTTCAGATTGCTTGTGTAACAGATAATCTCATTACTAAAAACTTGCAAGTCCAGACCCAAAACCTTTTTCTGATTTACAGTTTCAACTTTGACAAGTCCTTCCACTTAATGGGCCAGATCTTGAATCCTGGGATAGCTCGGAAAGGGAGTGCAAAGGTGGCATCAAGTTACCCTCACTTTCTCACAACGTTACTTTTTAGAGAATTCCACTAACCAATACTGATTGACATTGCCAGGCTCCAGAAAGAGCCATGTCCAACTCTCCTCTTCCAGAGGGAGAGTCCTGGGATTGTGGACACCTAGAAGTGTGGAAGTGGAGAAAGGGATAAAGGGAATTTGAACATAGAGATCTTAGTCTCTAGGAATAGCGCAAGAGTCGAGCTAACAAAGTCAGGCTGACACTGACTCTAATAACACGAGACTTGAAGGCCTAGGTGAGTAGAAAGCAAGAAAGCGAATGGGAACAGACAGTAAGAGATACTGTTTTGACCTTGAAATCTCTTGACCCCTTGACCTTGTGTTAGATAAGAATGGAATGTAGACTGTAGCAGAAATTAATGAGAAAAGTGAGATATCAGGAAGAAATACATATCACAAAATGCAGCTGTTGCTCATTATTGTATGCGAGGAAAGATATAAAAGTTTGCCTTAATTGTTTATCTTACTGAGACCTGCCCCTGTGTACTCTCCCATGCATTTGCAACTGCTCGAAAATAAAGCTGCCTCTGTTGCTTGCTGCTTCAAACTCAGTGAGGACTTGTTTTTCTCTGACAGATGGTAGGAAGGAATCAGGGAGAACTGTCTTTCACTAAAAGGGCTTGTAATGAAAAGTTCTCAATATTCTTTCACTCCTCCTCGGTGAAATCTCTTGTCCCCTGAGCAGATACCAAAACTGACCATGTATGCTCAGTCAGGTCCAATGATAGCACGTGTAGCATTCATGCTGCATCTGACTAAAAAGATGGTAGGCAAAACCTATCCTGAGGAATCTCTATTGTGTTTTCCTCTGCTGAAGTTATGGGATATTTTTAGCTTTTCTCTGAAATTCTCCAACTATTCCCTACTCAATTCCCATATTGCACCTGAATAAACAATAAAAGCTAATTGAAGGGTGAGGGGAAAGCACTCAAATTGCTTTCAACAGCTATAGGCTTGGGTAATATTTGTACAGCAGTTTGAAGATGTAAGTGTTATATGGATGCTTGGTAAGTATTGATATTAGCGGTCATATTTCTGTAAGTATTCTACATTCATATGAGTGCAGAAATTCCAGTGATCTCACTGGAAACTGCATGCATGGTTTGAAGACACTATGTATATACAGTGTCTTGAGTGTATGCACTCAATTTCCACTGAAATCAATTGAATTTCTGCAAGCAGAATGAATGCAAAATATGTCCAGAAATGTGGTTAACAATACCACTACAGTCTAAACATATATAATCCTTCAATCTTAAAGAACAGCTCTACGCTGAAAAGTTGAAAGGTGACTCTGCAAGAATGGCGTCATGCGGTTCCAGATCTATTGCTTTTCAATTGTTTCCAGATCTAATGTGCTCAGGGTAAAAGCACAAAAGATGTTTTTCTCTAAGTCTCAGTCCTGCAAACTCAAGCCTTTTCTTGAAATTCAAACTGAGTTCTTGCCTTCCTGAGCATCACCCCCAGCAATAGTTTCTGTGGGACTGATTCTGCCCCCTGTGACAGCTCTGCAAAGTCACTTCCTTCAAGTGGTGTCCTCAGTAACACCTGAGCAAGCCTGTTGGGGTTGCACAGGTGTAATTAATTACAATTAAGTAAACAGTTCTTTTCATAATGCACAAGAAAGAACAGAACTCAACTCTCTCTCTTTGCCAGTTTGAGGTTTGCAGGAAATAGTAACAAATAAGTAGCTTTTTAGCACTAAAATATGTGACTAGCTTCTCAATGCACTCAGGAAGCAGCTCTGATGTCTAGGGGTGGCATTTTTTTCATACGCTCTTTTCAGTTCAGAACTTGATCTTAAACTGTGACAACACAACCGAAGTACTAACTTACCGTGAGATCATTTCTGATAGCAAAATTCTCTGGTTTGATATCGCACAGGTGAAGCCGGTGAGAGAAATCATTATCAAAATGATTCACCATATCTAGGAAGCTGAGTGCAATGTCAGTTATTGCCTTCACCTTGCGTTTAGTGCCAGTGAAGGAGGGACCAACTGCATCCTCCAAAGGAAAAATAGTTTTGTGCCAGGCTTGTCCGGCTGTGAGATACTCCACAGCATAGAAGTGGCCACAGGAGCCGATGACCCGTAGGACATGTTTGCTGAAGTCCTGCAGTAGACTGAAGTAGATATATTCTTCCTGCTGGAGTAAGGACCACATGCTGGCCACTTGTGCTTTCCAATGCAGATCTCTCCTCCTAGTCCATAAGGGTCCCATGGTGTTGTTAGATAATTCCAGGCCCAGGACATTTTTGACCTCCAAAGCTACCATCAGCAGAAGCTCTGTCTCAGGAACATCCTGTGTTTCCACTTCATCAAGCAATCTGAGGCGCTGGTAGCTAGAGAAGATTTCCTTTTTGGATTTCAAGATGACTGGCTGGCCTTTCCAGTCCGCCTGGATGACCTTCTTACCTCTGTCGTAGTAAAGGCACTGTTTGTACACCAGCTTCTGTGCCACACACAAGTCTTCACAAAGGTCGCCAGTCAGGGCTCCTTTGCTGTAGTCAAGACACTAGAGCAAAGGAAGAAAACAGTTCACAGCAGAAGAATAGTATAGGAGTATTTCAGGGAGAAAAGGAGCAAGGGTCATCTCAGTTACAGTGTGACAAACACCATATTTAGACTCTAAGGTAAGGCTGTGATTTTTCAAATGTGCCTGGAGATCACTTCAAAGGAGTGATTCTTATGACAGTAGAGGGACTGTTTTTTCTCTGGCCAGGTAAAGGGCTAGCATGGAAGACCTACAACGCTAGGTGTTTGCCATCTCTAATATCTATGCGTCAGATTTTGATACCTTTGTCGACATCCCAGGATAATTTACATAGCCCTATCTGAGTTACGGCAGTCTGTCCTCTTCTCCTTATGGGTGGCAGCATTGCCCAGAATCTCCACAGCACTATGTGCCTCTGCCCTACCCCCAATCTGCCCCTCCCAGCCCAGCCACGCTCCCAAATAACCTCTGCTTCAGGGCTCATGAGGGACGAGGGTACTCAGAAGATGGCCTGTGGCTAGCATCCTCAGTTCCTGCACTGGGGAATTCTCCTCCAACTGGATCTGGGGCTTTTACAGCCTCTTATACTGCTCTGTCTCTTTTACTGTAAATTTCATGTGAAGACCTTATTCCATGTGAAATCCCATCAAAGTCAATGGGACTATTTGTAAACTGAGTTACTACCCAATATGAAAAAGGGTTTCTTCCCCCAGTAATATAAGATAGGTGACAGCAGCAGATACAGTCTATGGAGCCCAGAATATGCAGGTTTTTTAAAATATATAAATATAAATATATTTATTCATTCTGTAAGCCAGAAAGGCTTCTTCAGTTAAGGTCTGTCAGGCAAATTAACATGCTTTAAAATGTATGGACATACATATCAGATATCCTTAGGTAATTTTAATGCACTTTGGGTAATCTTGATTTAAAAAACCCAGGGAAATTGCTTCTTGATCATTGTGTGGTCATTACAAATGCATGAAAGAACTAAAAGGATACCTCCCCCACATAATTGTTTCCATTCCTCCACTTCTAGACATATAGGCAGCTTACATACTTTTGCGTCCATTCAGAACTTCCAGAAGTGCAACTGCAGAGACTGTTGGGGTGGATCAGTGGACAAGATGATCACAGATGTGGGGTGGAGGGAGAATAGTTTGTGTTGATGAAGGAAGCCAAACAGCTGGGAGGTGGCTTGTTAACATCGGTTGCCCTCATTGCTTTCTGGCATTTGAACTTTTGTTTAAACAAGTAAACTGACACTTCCAACTGTTTAATAGTTGTAAAGACTGCCTGACCCCAACCTAACTTGTTACTATTTGTTCTGTGTACAGGAAACATGATCATAACATTCGAATGCTGTTATTTTCTTAAAATAGTATCTGAGGTGTGCACCGGGGTGATGCTAGACGAGGTTGAAAGTTAAATATAATATATATATATATATTTTTAAACACTCACCAAAATTGGTATTTTATTTTTCTTGTGTAAACATTCCCCAGTTAGCACAGGGAATAACAGTGAACTGGTAACATTGTCAACTGGGGACTTTGGGTATTAGTGGCAGGATGGAATTTTAAGTCCAGTAGTGGTGCAAGGGCTGAATGAAGAGGTGATGAACTGGTTATTATACTACATAGTAGCCAGTGATTCTTGTGACATTAGAAGGACAGGTGCCACCAGACTCCTTGTTGTTTTTGTATATGCATGCAAATCAGGATGGACACATACATTGCAGTCCACGTGCACATAACTTTGGTGACTCCAGAAGTGCATGTGCAATTTTGGAATTCTGGCCTCATTTTTGAGGTATCTAATAACAAGTCATCATTCTCTCTTACAAGTAAGAAACTTACTTTTTCTCTGTTGAAGTAGTTTAATAATTCCTACAATCTGTGACCTTATCTTTAAACAACTCCTAGAAGGAGGGTAACACACCAAAGTCCTTTTATTTTATTTATTTATTTTTTGTAAGGAGCCTTAGTATTAGCTGATCAAAGAGCTTTGCTTCCTGAATGTGAAGATCACAGCCTAACACGTACAGTACTACTATTAGGAAACTATAGGTCCCAGTCCTGCAATCAGATCCACGCATCCTGCCTGGCGCCACATTGACTTCAACAGGGCTCCATGCATCCGCAAGAGTCTCATGCATGGATTCAATTGAGGTCTAGAAGAGCTCACACCTAGAAAACCAGCAGTGAGACATGGAAAAACATAGGATGCTTTCCAGTATCTGCTGTAGTTGCTGTATAATTCTTATTGGTATTTCATAAGAACGTGACTATGCAAAATATACAGCCACATCTACAACCCCCAAACATGGGAGATGAATCCATTCTATAATGGGGAAGGAATATCTCTAAGTCTATACTTTCTGTGCAACTGAATTGTTGATCTGTGCCTATTAACCTAACATCTGCCAGTCATGCATTCTCCAATTTGATTCTTCTTTATTGAGCTTTCACGGTGTTTCTTAAACCATGGTCCGTAGTGGACTGGGGAGCTGCTAATGTCACAGTGGTGAAATACATGTCAGACTTTGAGTAGTGACATTTCCTGCAAATTGTAGATCAGCTTCAGGAATTAGGGTTTCCAGAGGCTTTTTGCCCAATTAAACTAAAACCATATCAAACAGACCAAAAAAATGCCAGGTACCTCTCTGCAATTTTAGAGGGCTTGTCCACGTACAGAAGTTGCAGCACTTTAACTTAAATCAATAACTACAACAATTTTAGTTAAAAAAGTTCAACCCCTCCTATGACCTGGGTTTATTTATATCTGATTAAAACTGGTTATATCAGTTTAACTAGCACCTGCAAAGTTACCCAAGCCAGGTTTAAATTAGTGTAAAAGAGTCCACACAGTTTTGCACCAATTTAACTAATTTGGTTTAAAATCATACTTTCTGTTACATGAGTGCAACTTTGTGTGTAGATCAGGTCTGAAGCCTCCTGTCTTTCCTGGTGTAAATTCTACTGTGAGCAAGTTTATGGAAGACTCCAAAATCAGAGAAGTCCTACAAGGAGCACAGAAACCAACTGGAAAGTGCTGTAGAGTAATCAGGGTAATGGTGGGGGTCAGGGTGCAGGTAATGAATGGGAGATCAGTAGTAATAAATAAAAAGTCCTACACTTCAGGGTGATATTTAAAAGATATGCACCACCTACACCCTACTGAAATGATGTGCATTTCTTGTGCTTGCCCTCTACACAGATATGAATTTCACCCTGAGAGAGAAACTAAAAAGCACCGCTACAAAACAGAAAGGAACGTAACCAAGTATCCTCGCCCATTGGATTACAACAGGTCACTTTCATCTTGTTGCCCACTGAAAACACTGTCCTCATATTATATTTTCCATATCACCAAACATGTCCCATGCTTCAGAAAAAGGATGGGATGGAAGTCTGGGAAAGTGAATTTTCATGAAAGGAGGATCTCTGCTCACAAAATGGTTATTCTGTAGCTGAATTGCATTGCCTATAACAGTGAAACCAAGTGTGGTGCTTAGAACATGTACACAGAGTAACTCCCAGCTAACAGAAGGTGAGCTCAGTTCCTACTGGCTCCCCCAGGAAGCTGTTCCTTTTTGGTTCAATTAGAGCCATTGCTTATGGACAATGATGATCCTTTTTCACGTCTTAGCTGGGGAAATGCTCCCATTAAGTTCAGCCAATGGACTGGAGACACCTCTTTGCTATGTGGTTACTTAAGTTCACACTGGTGTCTGGTGAAACACTGGCAGAGACAAGTGTCCAAATGGCTCATCCCTGAAATCTCAGGGCTCAGGCCCTGGGACGGAAATGTGAATGTAGCTATTGCTGCTTAAAATAAGTTGGCAAGGCTGCTGTGTATAATTAGTCTTCCTTAATTATCTAGAAGGTAGGAAAATTTATGATCATAAGTTGCTTGCTACTATAATAGATTATTTAATTTCCATTTGGATTTTTTTCCACTTAACCCAAGCCTTTACAAAAAAGACCCAGTCTTTTAATTTTAATCCATACTGCTCCACATTTCTTCTCTACAGAATTTCAAATCACCACATTTGACTGAATAGTCTCACATGCTTTCTTGATTTTTTTTTAAATAAATATTTTAAAATATCCCCTATCAGGAAAAAAAAAAGCAAAGGTGGTGTACCATAGCCTGAAGATGATTTCTGAACCGAATGTGATCTCTGCCTAAAAAGCTTGTCGAGAAATCATCTTATATTTGAATGCATGTGGAATGTTGAAGACCCCTTCTAAAATATTTCAGAAGTATAGCTGCACATATCTCAAACAACAGCATCTTGGATCAGCTAACCTAAAGGACTGGGCTACCTTGTTTTACAGTATCAACCAAGAGCTGAATATGGTCTGCAGATGTTTTAACTCCCAGAACCTTTACTCCCCTATCTTTTAAAATCCATTAGAAGATGCTTTAGAAATATTTTAGTCCAACCAATTAAGTGCTCTGTCTTGTTGAATTGACATTACCCTGCTGGGTAGAAGGAGTAAAATGCAGTCAGCATTGTAAAGCCTTTGCAAGTGGTAGCTCTTCAGCCCAATTCCCTTTTTCAGCTGCTTTGCTCTCTCCCTTAAGATTACTCCATCAACCAGAGGTACTCGCCTTTCCCATTAGCACATTCACGGACCTAGTATCGTTGCATCAAACATTCATTGGTTCCCAATACTCTGTATTGCAAAGAACGATTCTTGGACCATATTTTGCACCAAGTAAAATGAAGACATTCAAATATCATAATGGCAAGGAAATACTATGAGTTTAAAAAATAGTCATTAAAAACTCGGGACGTTTTACGCGTTGCCTTTTTAAACCCCTGAGTGCAAGAACTGAGGCATCGTCCGTGGGCTCCATTCTCCCCCCGCTTCTCCAATTCAATGAGAGAGAAATGGAAACAGACTCGGGGATCTTAAAGGGGATATGTGGGTGGTGGGATCACACCGACTGTGCAGGGGGATCAATGAGCAAAGTGGCCTCCTAGGGCCCTGGCGCTGACCGCGGCGTGTCACTCGCTGTGCTGCTGACCTGGTACTTGCCATGACAGCCTCACTCTGCAAGCGCGCGGGGACATACCAGCCTCGCCAGGATCCTGTGGCTTTTCTCGTCCGTGCAGCGCTCAGAGAAGACGCTCCTGTGGACAAGGAAGAGGAACGTGCTGCCCAGCAGCCAGCAGGCAGCCCAGCAGAGGAAGAACAGGAGCGTGCATCTCCTCCAGATCTTCAGCCTCAGCCGCTTGAAGCCGAAGACGCCCCTCATGGTCCGTCCTGGCTGGGGCGGCTTCACACACTGCAGCCGGTGCAGCAGCCAGAGGCAGGAGGGGGCTCCATGGAGATCAGCGTCGCTCCCACTTGTTCGGATCTGTCACTGGAGCCATTGCAAGAAAGCAAATAACCCCCTCGCCCCCGGACGTTACTCGCTCAGTGGCCCGATCTGCCTTGTCCATGGGCAGAGGCTGGCAAATGACAAAGTGCTCGCGTGTGTCATCTCCGCGGTGCGAGCTCCTAACTGGGCTCTCTGTGATGGGAGCCCTGCACTGCATGGAAGTTACTCCCACTCTGTCCCTTGCACGGACTGATGCTTTTGCAAGAAGCCTGAGCTCTCCTTTTGAACTGAAGCCACGTAGTTCCGCCTCTTTTGTCTGCTGTGTCCTGTGTCAACCAACCCTCCTACTGGAGTTACTAGGCAGCTTCCCCCTCCCCCCCCCTTCTCCCGAAGTTTCACACACAAGAATAAAAGGGGGTTTGAAGCCTGGATTGGAGCGGCTCTGTGAATCTTTTTAATGCTGGTGGCGGCTTGACACTTTTAAGAGACAGCCGAAGATGGATGGCCCATCTGCATGAAGCGTCTCTAGCGAAAGGGGGACAAAAGTTGATTATTGAAGAATAATTTATGCTGTTTGAGTCCCTCTGAGGTTTACTATCCACAGGGGGAAACAGCAAAAGCAACCCAAGTGCCCACTTACAAATGCAAGAGCATGTGTGCCGCTGAAAGTGGTCTGAACAAAGTGTGGGGGAGCCTGTCACAAGCTGGGAATAGCAGCTTTGGTCAGACAGTGCTTAAAGTGCACCCCTCAGCGACCTTGGCTGGGTTTTATTTCATTTCACGTGATGTTTTGCTGGGTCTGTGATCCCTTGTGACCCCCCCCACCACACACACACTTTAAGCACTGAATGTTACCCCCCTCCCCCAAACACACACACACACTTTAAGCACTGAATGTTACTCTTCACCAGTAACACCAGCTCAGACCCTGGGGACTTGTAGTATTTGCATTGCACCTGCTAATGCACTCTCACAAACAAAACAAACAGGTCCCTGCCCCCAAAGAGCCAACAATCTAAGAGCTCAGCTGTGGTTTTAAGCACACAGGGGTATTGGGATAGTGACTTCGTTGGAAGCGGTGTGTGGCCTCCCCAGCTCAGTGGGATGTCTGGGGCATAGGCACTGGTGCACTTTTCTAGAGAGGGCAGGGTGTGGTTATCCTCACTCTCACCAAAGAAGTGACAGCTCCATTAGTGGCTAGTGTAGTGAGGCGTGGACCCCTCTCTGCCTTGTGTGAGAGGCTGGTGTTACTGTGGGGGCTACCTTCATTCAGTGAGAGCAAGGACTGCGGTTATGATTGGCCTCTGTGCTGGGTAGGATGAGAAAGAGGATCCTTACATCCTGTCCCCACTCCTGGGCAGGCACTCAGGGCTGGGCACAGTCTGGCCCATACTCCAAACACTGGGCTCAGTTCTTCCCTCTCTCCCACATCCAGTTAAGTAATTATTTACTCTTTGGGTAAGCCCATCACTTTCATAGAATAAGGTGCAACTCAGCATAGCAAGAGCATCTGAATCTGGCCCACTATGAGATATGGCACTGAAGACAGGACCAGATTCTTCTGCCCTCACTCTTATGGAATTGTACCTCATTTCATGAGCAGTCCCCTTGCAGGATGGAGCAGGGCTTGAAGGAATCTTTTAAAAAGTGTGTGACAGACATAAAAAATATGGAGAGAGGAAAAGGTTACAGATGACACCTTAGCCCTGAAGCCTTCTTGAGGCCGGCAGGGGGAGGGGGGAAATAAGAAAAAGAAAACAAAAGTACTGTATTTCATCCTGAAAGAGCCCCTGGGGCTGAAACACTAGAACTAGCCATGATTTCTATTTTTACTGTTTTATTGACCTTTTCCCTCTATCTTCCTCCCCATCTTTCCACATCTACATGCTGACACAGCACCACACCCAGGCACCATAATATGTTTTTTTCCCATCATACTGAAAGATAGACTTGATTTTAAATGCTGGAGGCACAATGTGATTTTAGGGGAATTAGTGATGTGAGTAGTGTGAGCAACGGGCCGGGAGCCAGCAGCTCTGGATTTTTAATCCTAGTTCTCACTCTGAGACACAATTTTTCAGAAGCTGTCTCTAAGTGTGTGCCCAGTGTTTATGTGGCTAGCTTGTGACTCCTACCTGTCTCAAGATGGGCATCCAGTAGCTGAGGCACCACAAAAAATTGGAGACTGCTTTTGAAAACGTGAATCTCAAGCTGTGTGTGTGTCCATATCTCCATGTGTAGCGTGAGGATAACAGCCCTTATGGGCCTATGGTACTTCCAAGGAGTATAATTAGTTAATGTTTGTAAAGTATTATATACGTATCATTCCTTTTTAACCCTGGTTCTGAAACACACTTGAGTGGTTCCTGATGTAGATTTTGTGACTTGGGAAGGGGAAACAGACTTTTGGGGGCTTGAACCTGCATTCCTTTTGCACTCAAAACATCTGAAATCAGTGGGAGTTTGGAATGTGCAAGGAACCCAGGATGGCTCAGGTCATGTTCACTCAAGGTCTGATCCTTCAACCTCAAACCCATATGACTAAAGTTACTGCTCTGCCAGTTTGGGACCACAAGATTTATGACAACACTGGAGACATTAATGCAGGAGGAAAAGGTTAAACAAGATTGGAAAAAAACTAATACAGTTAGAAATCTGTTACAAATAGCTGGCAATTTTCTCTTTATCTTTTTGGGTGCTCCTCCCAAAAACATCTCTGCTGACAGCAAATGAAAGCTACATTTGGTACCACAACACTCCCTCCTTCATAATGTGGTGAAACCCACAGGAACAAAGCTTTGTAAGGATACCTTCCAGGAGATTTCCATAGAGCACTCCGTCAGTGGAGTAGTATATTTCACCTAACTTTATGCATCCGAAGAAGTGGGCTGTAGTCCACGAAAGCTTATGCTCTAATAAATTTGTTAGTCTCTAAGGTGCCACAAGTACTCCTGTTCTTTTTGCGGATACAGACTAACACGGCTGCTACTCTGAAACCTGTCACCTAACTTTGCAGCTCTTGAAGATACAAAAATCCGATTGACTTTAGAGGGAGTTTTATGCATGAAAGGACTTCAGGACTTTGGACCTTATTGGTAACTAAGCACCAAAAGAATAATGATGTCTATGTAGCATTGTAGTTACAATGTGTACTAACACTGGGGACCTTTTGAGCAGAATGGGATCAGAGCTAGAAAGTTGTGGCTCAGGTATGGAGCCAAACGTTTCCAAGTGTTTGGATAAAAGGCCATTATATTGATGAGGATATAACTGCAAATTTCAGATCTGAATTAAAACTTCACCAAAATTCAGATGGGGGATATTGATCTGAGCCCATCTTTACTTTTTAAGAGTAATATTCGTCCTGTATAATATGAATCCATTTGTATCCATGCACTGTAGATTCATAGATTCTAGGACAGGAAGGGACCTCGAGAGGTCATCGAGTCCAATCCCCTGCCCTCATGGCAGAACTAAATACTGTCTAGACCATCCCTGATAGACATTTATCTAACCTACTCTTAAATATCTCCAGAGATGGAGATTCCACAATCTCCCTAGGCAATTTATTCCAGTGTTTAACCACCCTGACAGTTAGGAACTTTTTCCTAATGTCCAACCTAAACCGCCCTTGCTGCAGTTTAAGCCCATTGCTTCTTGTTCTATCCTTAGAGGCTAAGGTGAACGAGTTTTCTCCCTCCTCCTTATGACACCCTTTCAGATACCTGAAAACTGCTATCATGTCCCCTCTCAGTCTTCTCTTTTCCAAACTAAACAAACCAATTCTTTCAGCCTTCCTTCATAGGTCATGTTCTCAAGACCTTTAATCATTCTTGTTGCTCTTCTCTGGACCC